ATAAATAAATAAATAAATAGTAAATGACTAAATCTATGTCTCGGCTTAAACCGAAGGTGAAGGAGCTTTACCTATTCGCACAGAAGGCGTGTCACAATTTAGTCCATGAGTCAGCTGTACGGTTTTGTTGTGAAGATTAGACCGTATCTAGCATTTTAAAATCATGAGTCTTGCACTTGCGACATACAGCCGTCCAACTCCACCGAGTTTTGTTTAAGAATTTGAACCTCCAAGTCGCTTTTTATTACCTCTACGGAATCCCACAGGGTATGGATCACACAAGAAGCGTGACCACACAAAGGTGTGTCTACACTTAAGCAACAATAAAACATTAAATTAGACTTCACTATATAGATATGAAAAAATCTAATTCAGATATAGGCGACTTTGCCGCAAACAAAAGCGAGGAATACAATTTACAATTTAACGAAAGAGATAATTAGCCTTGGCTTAAGGTTGTAGTTACTATTGGAGTGAGCGGATTGCGATCCACTACACTCGTTCTGGTTCGAAATATAGAACAAAGGTCACCGACGTGAACTAAGCTTCCTCTAAGCGAAATTGCTACGGCAGCCCCGCTACACCTACACTAGAGCCCATAGCGCAGAGTCGCCTTAACAGATCCTCCCAACTCTCATATCTGGTAGATCCGGCTCAGTTGCAATGAAAAGTCTCACCATATATAAATTTAGGAGACTGCGACATACCGCCGGTAACTCGCGTAAAATCAACGATTCATCGGATGACTGCCATATCTACCATGGGTTCATGGCGTGCAAGAAGAAAACTTCAAGATACCCCACGCTTACAGATTTCGACTTTTGGTCGATTCAAGATTAATGCTGTACAAGCCAATACACATGTAAGATAAGAACGTGCCCTGTTTTTGGACCAATCTTGGATCCACGGCATTATGTTCAAAACTAACAAGAACTGCAAACGACCCCTCAGCACATTAACGTCGTAAGACGAACTTACACTGTATATCTATTTCGCATCTTCGATATCTCCGCATTATGTATATTGTTTGTACGTCTACTTTCGTACATTATTGCGCAGCCATCTTCGATTTATTAAGAGTTTTGACGGCTCCACAAAGCAGCGGGGATGCCGTAGCTCTTTCGCTTAGAGGAAGCTCGGTTACCTTCGTTCTATACTTAGAACCAGCAAGAGTGTAGCAGATCGCAATTAAATTACTCCAAGAGTAATAACAACCTTCAACTGAGACAAATTAACTCTTCCGTTTGAAAGTTAAACTGTATTTCTTGGTTTTATACTCGGCAAAGCCGCCTATATTTAAATATATAGGTTCTCCTATCTATATAGTCAAACCGAATTAAATGTACAACTACTGGCTGCCACGTACGAACTTCTTGTTTCAGTGTAGCCACACCATTCATACCAGGGCACGTGAAACCCCCGTTACGCTTTCCCCCATCAAGATTATGAACACGTACAGTTCATATTCAATTGTCGTCTCGAACGAAACCCACGTGTCTAAGACACCACAACATCACCAGGGCCTTCTTCTGGAGCTCTCTGCTCAATGAGCCCTGTGTCAAAGACACGGAAGACACCAAGCCTCGCTGGTCCCGAGAACGCCCGCGGGCAGAGCCCTTCTTCGTCTCCTGCATGCGGTACAACTTTGGACAGCACGTCCGCGGCTTCAAGGAAAGCGCAGCCTAAGCTCTCGGAAATCGAGTACAGCGCAGCGCATTGCCAGCGATAGAGCCGCACGACCAAGGAAACAGACACTGTATCTATTTCTAACCGCGCATCGCGCCCTCCACGGGCGATGGATTACCTCATCGAGGATTTGGAGGAAGTCGACTACGAGTCATAAATCCCTTTCCTAGGATGGAAAGATGCAGGGGACGAGGTGCCCCGGCGGCGCGACCTGAGCCCTGCTTGATCCTTGCGGCCACCGTGTCCGTTCCCGAAGTCTCGAATTCCGGGGGAAGTGGTGTCGTTGCCAATGACCTCGACGAGAAACTGAAGCAGCAGCTGGATGCTGTCTGCAAGGCGGCTCTCACGCGCGCACATCCACGATCAGCCCTCGCCCCTCGAGTGGAATACGGCTTCCGCTCGGCGGATCCCGCTACAGATGCGAAGGTCGCGATCACTCAATCGTTTAGCGTCTATGTGATCGGGAACTTAGTCACCACAAAAGCTGATCTTGACGAACGAAAAGCTCTCCGAGCTCGCTTCGTGGTTCCTCAAGAAATCCCGGTGGGTATGTACCGCACTCGTTTCGTGCTCAAGAAGGCCCTCCTATACCCGCGATGCTTTGTACTTGCCTATGGCGAAACTGCTGCAGAGGACGAAGAGCTCTTTGAGCGATGGGTGCAGCGGCACTGGGAACTTTTCTCGCTGTACAACTTCCAGCTGAGCCACACGGAGGGAGACGCGCGCGTTAAATGCCATTTTTGGTCTGAGTTTGCCAAACGCAAGGCGCGTCGCCGACTTCCTTCATATTGTCGCCCTGCTACGCATGGGTTGATCTTTCACGCTCCCGCGAGCTCTGTGGTCTCTCACACGGGTGAATCTGCGACCGCAGCGGCTCAAGGCCATAGCTTGAGCTCAGCTCATGATCCTTAGGCTTCCATGACTATTGACGAGAAGCGCAAGGAGTACGACGACGCGGAACGTCATGATTTCTCTGATCATAAGCATCCACGACGTCTGGAAAGTCTTGCCGAAGTAGCACTTCAAACTCCCACGAGTACTCGAAGTAGGGGTATGCCCGCCACTTCACATGGCGGCGACGTCAATCCATAAGACGTTCTACGTGATAGTGGACACCACCATCTCGTCGAGAAGAGTCGGTGGCGGACGAAGACGATTGGTCGATCACCGTTCGATGACTCTCGATTTTCTTCGAGATCTTTCGTCACGATCGAAACTACGCTGAGCAAGCATCTTGCTGGGGTCGCATACCGTTGCGCGGAAGGCATAGATAGCTTGAAGCACTCTGTGCACCGGCTGCCTCACGTTGAGGACTATCATGGTTTGTCGAAGCGGCTCCTAGCCGTTGAGCAGACGAATGAGTCGCTTCGTGCGACGCTGGAGCACTTGGCGCCGTTGGAGATGGAAATCGTTTCACTCCGTGCTCAAAGCCAGTTGCTGATCAAGCTTCTGGGTGGCTAGGCACCTGTGGGCGTCGCTCGACGCCAACGCTTCCCCGTTCACTTGTGCCGGATATCGATACGGCTTGAGCAAGGCCACATAGAGCACCGGGTGTGTGCGCATCCGTTTCGGAAGAATTAACGCATACACGAGGCCCCGCTCGGCCACAACCTTGAACAGGTCCGATAAATCATGGACGGAGTTCGTCTTAAAGACAGCAGAAAATGCATGGTTTCTGACATTTGATAAATCCAAGTCTCCGACCTCAAAGTTTTTAGAATTTTCTTCACCTCATCCGTCTACATATTCTTTTAAGTCTTGGCTTTCTTCTATCGCATCGCGAACATGTCATAAGATACTCAGTTTGGTAGACAGTAAGTCATCGACTTCTTAACGAATAATGAGAGGACTAACATTAGCTAGTCGCTCGTCTTTTCCTCCGCCACCAATCCTCGAACCATGGAATGGCGGCGTCAGCGGACGCGATGATGAACGAGCCCGTTCACGTAAAACGGCGCATAGCCGGCAGACTAATGCACTGCATTGTCCAGAGCGAACTTCACAAGTGGTAGCATGGTGCTTCAGCGCATTGGAGTCTCAGCGCAGACGCTGCGAAGGACGTCTTTAGCAACATCATTCACGCGCTCAGTTTGGCTATTAGTCTTCGGATGGTCCAGTGTTGACATTCCCAGCATGGTGCCCAGCACCTTGGAGATCGTCAACCAAAACTTTACAGTGAAGCGTGGGTCCCTTGTCAGAAACATTTGAATCCGAGAGTCCATGTTTTCGAAAGATACGATTCACAAACAGCATCGCTGTACCGACACCGTCGATGATGTCAGGCACCGCCGCAAGATACGCCATCTTGCTGAAACGGTCGACGAAGACCACGACACCCGTGTTACTCACCGATTACTTCAGTAGGCCAAGGTTTCACCTTTTGACACATCTCACACGTGCGCACATATGTGCTCGTCCATTTGTACAGCTTGGACCACCAGTAGTGGCAACTCAACGAGCTGTAGGTCTTTTCACGACCGAGATGACCACTGAGTGGGGTGTCGTGGGCCTCATAGAGGATACGCTACTTCAAATCCTTATTGTGAGGAGCTACAATTTGTGGCGCATTCGTCGAGTCGGTGCTATAATACAACAATCAAGTTTCAATGAATAACGGTGCACGCAGTCGCGACGACAAATACTTGTCCGAGTTTCCAGACAACTTTGTCCCGAGAGGTTTAGCAGCGCTACACACATATCATCACTCGCGTACGCAGCGGGGATCAAATCCGTCAGGGACGACGTCACAATCGTGACATGAGAAAGCTCACAAATCTGGTATGCGTGACAACGCATCATCCAAAGCATTCTGCTTTCCTGGTTATATTTCACCTCAAAGTTATATTCTGCAAGAAAAGAGAGCCGCCTGGCCATCCTTTTCGAGGGGTGAGGCGACTGAGTCGCAGTGCGTAGTGACGCATGATCTGTATAGATCACGAACGGCTTGGAGCCAAGCAGGTAAACACTGAACTTGACAAGTGCATACTTCATCGCAAGGAATTCCATTTCGTGGACTGGATACTTCTTTGCTGCTGATCGAGATTTGAACGATCTCGCCCTTTGAGGTCTACATGCAGCAGTGCACAGCTGATGGCAAGTCCGAAGTGTATCAGACGACTAAATAGACGATCAAAATCTAGCAACCTTAGTATTGTGAATGAAGGAGGCTGTCTTTGACCCTGTCAAAAGCCTCCCGATGCTCGGTATCCTAACACCAT